AATCTAAAGATCTATTAAGTTTAGGTACCGAACTGTAATTTGCATAGTTGGAAGGCGAGTGAAAAATAAAACAAAGAGTAAGTAGATGATGGAAAGGTTTTGACCAAATCTTTTAGTTGGTCGTCAATACAACAATCAATCATTTTCACTGTATCAATTTATTGACATTTGCTTATGTAGATGTCGCATATTTTGTTACATGTAGTTAGTAGAAGTTTGTTTAGTGCCCCGTAAATGTACTAAATGAGCTCATAAAATCACTCTTGCAATATTTTAGAGTCGTCTCTCTTTCATAATTTATTTAATGTTTCACGTAATGAGCAAATATAAAATGGTCTAATCTTCTCCTACACTTGAGTGATACAACATCTTGTATGCTACAAACTAATTAAATTTATACTTTTACGTTATGGTGGATTGAATTCATGGATTGGTTCAAAAGGATTTGTGAATTAGATTTATGGATTCAAGTGAAATCTAAACATTGGACCAATATGTAAATTTTAAAAAATTGTAGGTACGAAAATCTCGTAAAATTTAGATACCAAAACATAATTGTTCAATGATTTTATATTAAAAACAAATTTGGGGTATCGAAATATAAAATGTATATTATAATAATTTAGTTGTAATTTAATTAAATTTGGGATATCAAAATGTAAAATGTGTAGCCGCCCAATCAGCTTGCGAGTTTAGGCCACAGTAAACTCACTTATGCTTTATATATATTAAATAGTGTATTATCATCGGGCAGTCAGAATCGTCTAATGCTAATCTAAATTTGTGTCATAGATAAGAATTATGAACTTTATGATGTTAATATAACAGCTGGTACTGATAATATCCGCCGATTTTGGGTTGTTGTATTTAGGGGTGGAAATCGGTACAATATCGATATTCCAATACCAAATATCGAAATCCCGAATATTGAATTACACCCTAAAATCAATCGGTATTATCGAATACGAAATTAATTACCTTTTCAATTAATAATTAAATATATAAATTATATTTTATTGTTTAATTTAGGGCAAAGAGACAAAGTAAAGAGTTATGAGTTTGCCTAGAGCTAGGATATGGTTAAAGAGAATGAATGAGAGGTGACATCTCAAGTTCTTGTCATTGGTAATCTTTAATTTGATGAATTGGAGGTTGATAGACGACTAATACTAGTGTTTGCATTTTGGTGTTATGAAAATTACAAGAGATTATGTGAGAGACGAGAGTGACTTAAATTGGAAAGTCAAATTTGAGTTGGAAGTGAGCTTCTAAGTTGTGAAATAGTGATGGAATAATCTATGTATAATTAAATCATGACACTCTTGGTGGTAGAGGGTCGTGTAGTAGTGAATGAGAGAGTCTAGTTGAGAAAATAAAATACTCACTAGCTTATATTTCGGTATTGATCGGTATTTCGGTTTATACCTATCTCAATCCCGTAATCGCTAATACCGAATAACAATTGAAATTCAATCCCAATAAAAAAAATAATACATGTATTCAGTAATATCAAATATAAACAAATTCAGTACGATATTCGGTATATCCCAAATACTGGTACAAAACTTTCAGCCCTAGTTGTATTGGTATAATGCTAATTGATTATTTTAATATATTTCAACAACAAAATTACACCAATATATATGCAATCATTTGAATCACAATTGTACTGTTGGAAAACTAATTTGGGTTTACTTCTGGTATGATTTTTAGTTTCTTGGTTACTGATCACTATGTTATAAGCTAGGTTATTTGATTATTCCCCTTGATGACTTGATCCCCTTGGGACCTCTGCGAGAAAACAATCTTTTGCCACTTTGAGTTAAACTCAGAGAACTTTCTCTAACAAACCACATCCTCTATCATTTTACAATTTTAATGTCAGCTTATATTTTATGATTCATTATATACTATATATATTAACTAGGTGGCGATGCCGCGCCTTGTCGCGGGTGGAGATGGTATATGGACATGTATTATGTGACCCATTATGGTGTTTGTTTGTATTATTAGTCTAAAATTAATTTTTTGTTAGCAGTTTTGTTAGTAATATTGACTTGATAATATGATATTAACTGAGAAGAGATATAGTCAACATCCAATTTATTTTTTTTTTAAATTTTTGTTAATAAATGATATTTACCTAAACCCAAGTGGACCCATTGATTATGGATAGGGTATGTGTGACGTATATATGAGTTTGAAAGTTTGTAGATGGGTTTGGGTAGGGTATGAATATGTACTTACATAATCTAAATGTGTATGAGTTGGGCATGAATACCCATTTATTCGAGGGTGTTTTAATTACACATACAAAAATTAGACATATTTGTAGAACTTCAAAAGTTTAGGCACCAAAATGTAATACGCAAAAAATTTAGATACTAAAATGTAATGTTCAATCAATATTTTGGGGACTTATGTGCCAAAGAAAATAAATTTAGGTTATAAATCTAAAGATCTATTAAGTTTAGATACCAAACTGTAATTTGTATATTTGAGGCTTAATTCCATTATGGTGATGTATAGATATGTGTAGATACCTAGCAAACATTCCATATATAATTGTCAAAAATTCTAACACGGGTGAAAAAGAAAAACTATAGGGAGAAACAAAATGAATACAAACTGGAACTCGCTTAAAATTTCACGCCTTCAAATCATAGTGGAAAATGATTACTTTCTAATAAGTAATAACCATATTTATTTGTTTTTAATTGGACTCGACATTGAGCTGAAAAAGTTAGAGGTTCATGGTTCAATTATTAATTCGCTAGACTGTTGGTAAGTCGTATGGATCCGTTCATACTTGTGATTAGAATACGTAAAAATTGTATACTAATTACGGTTAGACGAAGAAGGCAAAGAAAGAAATAAAGAGTTATGAAAGGCGAGTGAAAAATGAAACGAAAAGTAAGTCGATGATGGAAAGGTTTTGACCAATTCTTTTAGCTTGCCGTCAATACAACAGTCAACCATTTTCATCGTAGCAATTTATTGACACTTGCTTATGTAGATGTCGCATATTTTGTTGCATGTAGTTAATAGAAGTTTGTTTAGTACCCCGTAAATGTACTAAATGAGTTTATAAAATCGCTATTGTAATATTTTAGAGTCGTCTCTCTTTTATCATTTATTTAATATTTCATGCAATGAGCAAATATATAATGGACGAATCTTCTCCTACAGTTGAGTGATACAACATCTTGTATGGTACAAACTAAATTTATATTTTTTGCTATGGTAGATTGGATTCATGGATTGATTCAAAATGATTGGCGGATTGGATTCATGGATTCAAGTGAAATCTAAACATTAAACCAATATGTAAATTTAAAAAAATTGTATGTACGAAAAGTTCTTAAATTTTAGATAACAAAACATAATTGTTCAATAATTTTATATTAAAATTAAATGGATGTAAAATGTACATTATAGTAACTAAGTTGTAATTTAATTAAATTTGGGTATAAAAATGTAAAAATGATAGTTGTCCAATCAGCTTGGGAGATTAGGGAACAGTAACTCAACTCCTTTATTTATATATATTAATTAATAATGTATGTAACACAACACGCCCAATTGATCTAACACCAAAATTTAATTAGCCTGTGTGATGATGGCGGCGGAGTAGTCATCATGTGGGGAGCGGGTGCTAAAGGAAGCTTTAATTTTTCTGAGACTGGAAAAACAAATTATTCTGGGGCCTAGACGATGTGATGGTATTTTGGTCACACAGACTTTGTTGTTTATTACTTATTAGTCTTTTTACAGAACAAATGATTTGTGTTATTGATCATATATAGGACTCATATGTTCCAATAATACCTTGCAAGATCGAAATTGCGGTTCCCGTTGGTTATATAACTTGTTGCAGCCTCACAGGGTAGCCATTAGATGAACGACCAACGATTCGATTCAAAAAATTGGATAAAATCACGAGTGGCTTGCAAAAAGTAAAGAAAAATTGGGATTTGTTACAATAATGTGTAAATTTTTTTCTCACATGCTTTTCTTTCTGTGCAACGAGGTAATTGTGGTTAACATGGTTGTCAAACCATTGGTATTTTGGTCGATTGGTACACTCGGATTCAACTGACATTGAATACAAAAATGGGCTGCAAGATCGACGATATGAATTGAAGCCGTAGTCAAAACTTGTAATTTTTTTTTTATCAAAATCGATAAACGGATAATAGATTGGAATGATCAATTTTTTCGGTCTCTAAACAAAATGATGTCGTTTTGGAGGAACTAACTAACACAAAAGAAAATTTTGCCAAATTATAGTGTGAATATTTAGATTTTGATGTTATCTATTGGATTCCAACAAATGTTTGGATATTGGCATTAAATGTTTCATTTAGATATGATTTGTCATTTTGTTTGTAATGCAGTATTTAATTTAAATGTGGATATATGGAGATCTTATAGGTAGATTGTCTTAGGATAAATTATATAAATACACAATTAATTTGGTGTTAATGGTTCCCCACTTCCTTGTATGTTTTGCGAAAACTACCATAAACCAGAGGAAATTCCTACAATACCTTGAAGTTATTGTAACTTGATGGTTTTGACCTGCTATAACAGATTTCAAAAGTCGCATTAAGTAAAATACAATATGCATTACATAATGGTTACGTAATGTCTAATGTGTGTTTATCTTACGTAATAGTTGAAAAATGTCATTACGAAAACCTTACATAACAGACACTCATTTTACGTAATGAATATTAACCTTTCTTTACATAATCTCTTAAATCACTATAGAAAGACTTACATAACCGCTTGTGCTGGGAGAGGGAGGTGTTGGGGACGGTGGGAACTAATGTACAGATGTACTATATATAAAAGATTTTTTTTTCTTCTTCTTAATATTTGAGTCTTGTTTCTTTCTTCTTCTTAATTTTGTGTTGTGTTGTGTTGTGTGGGTGTGGGGTTGGAGAGGGTTAGAGTAAAAACTAAAAAGGGGTGACCTAGGATTACGATGTATAACTGTTGTGGGTCTCTCCTCTCTCTCTCCAATCTCTCTCACTATCTGGCTGTAACAGACACATAAATCTCTCACCCCACAACCAGTCCTCTCTCAGTCCTTGTTCTTCTCATTCATTAGTTACAGTAGGCAACAGCACTGCTCATCTGGTTTTGGTAGAGAGAGAGAGGGAAGAAGATGGGGTGGTGGGTTTTGGACTTTTGGGTATTTATACCACCTGCCTATATTACTCCTCCCTTCCCCAAGTCCAACATAAACAAATACACACACTCCACCAAATTACCCTCTCCTTCTCCTTCCTTCCCTTTCTCTCTCAAAATCACCCCAAAACCCTACCCTTACCCTTTTCCTCTCTGTGGTTCCTGTTCTTAGCTTTCTCTTCTAGCTTGATCCCTTTTACCATCCCTTGCTTTGCTCTCTCCTTTTTTTCTTTTCACCTGGCTTTTCCTAGCTAACTCTCTTGTTGAGAAGACAAGATCTGTTCTTTTCCCCCCATCCTTTATTATCTCCCCCCCTACCTTACTTTCTTTTCTCTGCTGCGATTTGGGTTTGGGATTAGGTTAAATGTTAGGGTTAGGGTTCCATTAAAAGAGTAGACGACAGCTACAACTAGCCAGTGTTTGCGGGTGGAGCATCATCAAGATTCACAAGGGGCACTTTTGGTTGAGTTCTAAGCCTTTGCTAGTACTATCAATAATGGTGGTCGGCTATTTCTTTTATGCTGCTTTTTCCCCACATTTACAGTGGCGTTTTCCCCTCCTCCTCTTTTTTTTTTTCAAATATAGTACTAGATCGAGCAGCTGGTAATAGCTAGATAAAGGGATCTTAGTACAAGACCAAACTTGGGAATCTTGATGATGCTGCAGCGGCAATTCACTGGCTCAATACTAATTAACAACATTACAAAAAACAAATTCCTTGTCCTTTAGCTCGTTGTTACTCCTTAATCTTTTCTTCCTTCCTTTGTATCTGTCAGTCCACCCACCACCGAAAGCAGCTGGGACTGCGAGCTCAAGGTAAAGAGGGAAAATCACGATGTTGTGTTTTTGTTGGGTATGTACAAAACTAATAATATTGTATTTCCATGTGTTGAGTACTAGGGTTTTGTGAAGGCTCTCTCTCTCTCTCTCCAGAGTATTATATTATATAATTGAAGGGTAATGAACATTTTTTGCTCTTGTTTATTGAGAGAAACACATAAAAAGTGACTGCAATCTGGATCTAAGCGTCTCTCTCTCTTTTCCAGTCCTTTTTTTTGTAGTTTGTTTACTTTGCAGTTGATCAGATGAGAGGGTTTGGAGCTACCTACCTGAGTTGTTGTTGGTCCAGCTGACACCGGCCGGCACCACCACCGCCACCATCACCTGCAGGTATATTATATGTCTCTACCTTTTTTTTTTCTACTTATTACTGCCTTCCTTTTTCGATAAATGGGTAAGTAGTTTCTGTACTATTATTTTTTCCTGCGACTGGGAGCGAACATTTGTTTGTTTTTCTCTAGCAGTAAAATGGGGCCTCTTTCTGCTTGTTTCTTTTTTTACCTTTCATCCTTTTCGTCCGTACTTTTGTTTTAGCAGTAAAGTAATTTTCTTTTGAGAGAGGCCATTGGAGGGTAATTTTCAGAGCAGAACTTAACCATATCCATTTGTTGTTGTACATGGAAATTTTGCTGCTCATCCATCCATCCAATGTGAAATAGCTCTGCAACTCATGTGTCGTCACTCAAAAGGTATTTTGGTTTTGAACTATATATGCATGTTTCCCTGTGTTTTCAGCTACAGCCTGCCAATTCCTGGCTAGGCCGCTGCAGGTGGCAGCTAACCCATACTAGTAAAGAAACAAGGACACATGACAGCCATTTAAGGTTTCGCCCGACACATGCACTAGGGAAAGTAGCCTTGGATTTCACTTGACAACCTAGCTAGGATGATATGTTCTGTTTAACTAGCTAGAGATCGAGTACTATGCTTCTATATGTTATATGTACTCACGAGTCGATTTCCTTGTATAATCTCTATAGTAACAAAATATATATACATTTCTTAACAATGATTTGGTCGAGGGTTTTACTCACCGCCCGCGGACGTTCACAGTTTCCTGCTCATCAGCTCTTAAGGTACTACTTAAGGAATTCGAATCTAAGGGAACCTCCACATTCTAGACTCGTGGTATTACCACTAGGCCAAGCCCTTATTTGTTCCTGCTCACCAGCTCTTAATGGCTCCATTTTTATTGATGGTTTATAATCTCATTTGTGCAGATCGACCACGATCCAGTGACCAGCAGCCTGTGTTGCTTCTGTTTCGAGAACGTATATGTATCTAGCAACAATCGTCATTGGTCGATGGATATGATCATCAACCACAGTATAGTATACATGAAAGAGGCGGCACTAGCTAGCTGTTTGGGGGTTGAGACAGTACTACTGCCTGGAGAATGGAGATTGATTGATCAGGTTGCTAATTACACGACGGATAAACTGGTGGAAATGCATGTGTGTGTGTTTTCCGGCTGCTGATCGAGGAGATGAAGTCACATGGAATTAATTATGATCATATTTAATTAAGAAGAGATTCCCTCGATATTTTGATTGATTGACTTGAGTGGCTGGCTGGCTGGCTGCCTGATTGATTGATGACCTCCCCATGTAATCTGCATATAAGTCAAAATTGCACTCTAGCTGTGAAGGGTTCATCGAGCAACTCTTCCCTTTTATTTTTTGGAAGTTGGGCGTCTGAATCGATTGCAGTTTAGTGTCCAATGGTTAAATAAAGAGCAGCAATGACGTGATCATGTGACAGCAGACATGATGAGATGCGGGGCGCGGGATTCCCTCGTTGACAAGAGATAGTTTAGGGATGGAGGCTTCTTTTCTTTCTTTCTTTCTTTCTTTCTTGGATCGGTTGCCCTGATCATCCATCGATCTTAACCATGTTGATTTACGTTTCATTTTTTTTCCCCCAGTTACTGCATCCCTCTTAGACTATGCAAAAAAAGAAAAAAGTTTCTTGTTGTAAATCCAAGTGATCAACGTGTTGTAACGTTCTTACTGAGACCACATGATAATTATGTATTATATATTTCTTATATTTTTTTTAAATGTATCACTAGCATAGTTTCCACAATACAATTTTAGACATCCACTAACCATTGTATTAGCAATTTGGACCGACTAAAACTTAACAACTATCGAAGTCCTTATTTAAGATTCATCTTGTTCGAATTCCGATGATGTCGATCGATACTAACTGTCGATTTAGATATGACATTGCAAATCTGTTAAAACTCAGTTGTTGAGAGGGAATCATACACTATGTTGATCGTTAACGGAAGAATATATGACCGCATCCTAGCCAATAATGTCGCAATATAATTATTTACAAAATAACATGCGATCTCAAACCAACATTTCATTTTGATGTTTTAACTGAATACAACAAGTAACAACAAAAAGCTGTTGCGTTAAACTTCACTACAAAATGAAAGCCTTCAGCTTCAAGTTATCATGGACATGGTTGACGTGCCTGTGATTGGGACGTCGCGATTAGTCACATCTATTGAAAGGATAACAAGTGTGCATACTTTTAAGGTGATTGAGGTCATAGGTTACATTTTGGTTTCCATAATATATGGTTGCGGTTGATCTTGTCCTTGCCTACTGACTGATGTATATAACACTCAAATTTTCGAACCACATTTCGTTTCGAATTTAGACTAACATACTTGGTATCCATTTTAAAAATAAAAAATCCCACTAAAAGAGGAAACTTTTATAATGTAGTTTTAACGGTGGTAGTTTTCTAAAAAAAAATCGTGGGTTTCTCTCGCCCTTTCCCCACGAGTGGCGGTTTCCACGCCAACCCTCGCCGTAGTGCGACGATTCACTCGCAATTGCCAGCGACGTGCCTCCACTTCCCCAGTGGTTTGGCCCCCTTATGGGTATCTCAAGCGACCTTATAAGGCTCCGATTGCACATCTCTGGGCAAGTATTGATTCCCATTCTTGCTTCCAATTTTAAAATACCTTTTACTTCGATCCCTAAATCTGCCCTTACTATGGCTGCTGAACTGTTCGCTGTCTTCAATGATGAGGCTGTTGCTGTCGCAGAGGAAAGGGCTGAACTCAGTCTCATTGGTAAGATCCATGGCCCTGCTCCTTCCTTGGGCAGTCTGCAGAACTTCTTGGTGGACCTCTCGAACTGCCGTGGCTCCCTAACGGTGCTGCCGACCGACGAGGGCCTGACCCAGTTCATCTTCTCTGATGCTGAGGACTGCCGGCGCATTCGTGATAAATCCCCATGGATTCAACCGGGCTTCTTGATCCATCTTCGCTCCTGGTGTGAGCCATCCTCGGAGGTTGCCGGCTCTCTCTACCAAGTACCCCTGTGGGTTCAATTCTGGAAAGTCCCGACCTGAGGATACACTGTACTGATGGCGCGTTGCTTAGGTTCAACCATGGGAGAATTGAAGGAAGCGGCGGTTCATGTTGGCCGCCAGACAGGTGGCGTTTACCTCAGAGCTCGGGTGGTTCTTAACATCGCCCAGCCACTTCCTCTCTCGGTTACTGCCTCGCATGAAGATCACAGTAGGAACTGCTTCAAGGCTACGGTTCTGTATGAAAAAATGCCTCTCTTCTGTTTTTTGCTGTGGAGTTATAGGGCACTTCAGTGCCCGCTGTGATCTCCAATCCTCTAGGTCCAGCCAATCCCTTCCATACGGAAAACACATCCTGGCATATGACAAAGGTTCTCGTGTGGATTAGCACACTCTGCGCAAAAAGATCGCTCGCTTCTCATGGAACAGAACTACGGCTGCCCAATCCGGATCTCATGCTCATAATACATCTGGTCTCCAACGCCTGTCCCTCGGGCCGGCCACTGCTGCTCTCTCTATCGCACCATCGCCCTCTCCTTGTCGTAAGCAGGGTCTACTGGAAGATGGTGAAATCCCACCTGCCTCCAAGGTTTTATGTGTTGAGGAGCCTGTTGGGCAGTTACTATTGGATTCTAATTCTGTACAGGTGGAGGAAACCGGCCTCGATCGGTCCCAGTCCAAGATAAGAGTATCTTAGCTTGGAATTGTCGAGGATTTGGAAAATCCTTGGCCCGTCGTTCCTTGTTAAATGCCTTAGTTAGTAGATTTCCTATGATTGTCTGTCTAAGTGAGACAAAGTGTCGTGATAAGAAGGTTAAATCGCGTATTACTCGTTTAGGCTTTCCGAATTCTGTTTTAGTGAGTCCCGTTAACACTTCAGGGGGAATGGCTATTGCCTGGACCACTGAAGTAGATTGTACAGTTGTTTATTCGTGTTCTTCTTTTGTTGTCGTGGAGTGTGTCCATCAAGTCTATGGCAGCTTTGCCTTTGTGTTTGTTCATCTAAGTTGTAATGAAGGGGATCGATTAAATCAATTAAATGACATTTCTATCTACCTCTTGTCCTTCTCGGTCTAGTACTTCATTATTGGTGATTTTAATTGTCTGCTAGTCTCGGCTGATAAAACTGGAGGTAGACCACCAACTCCACATTCTTTGGCCTTGTTGCAGAACTTCCTTGAACATCATAATCTGCAGGATTTAGGCTTCCATGGACCGCCGTTTACGTGGTCGAACCGACGATCGCCTTAGGAACACATCATAGAACGCCTCGATCGCTGTCTCTCTTCCCCAACAGCCCTAACCACTTGGCAAGGTATGCAACCACATCATTTATCTGATCTTGGGTCTGACCATCGAATGATACTTTTACAGTTTCACCCGGCAGCAGCTAGAACAAAAGCAAACTTCCATTTTGATGCGCGCTGGATTGAAAACCTGGAAGCTAAGGGCATTCTGGACGTCGAATGGAATCAACCCCGCAGCGGTACCTAGCAATTCCAACTGCACGACACCCTCAAGCAATCTCGACATCAACTTTACCATTGGGCCTCCAAAGGCACAACCAATTCTGCTCGAGCTATCCGGGAATTGCAAGATGCAATCTCATCCATCCGCGAGACTTACCCGGTGGATTGGAGTACCATTAATCAGCTTGAACAACAACTATCCGAAGCATATATCCAGGAGGAACTATATTGGTACCAAAAATCCCGCACCAGCTGGCTAACAGAAGGGGACTCGAACTCGCATTTCTTTCATCTAACCACCTTACAGAAACGAAGGAAAAACAGAATTCTTGTCATTCGGGATGACAATGGAGTATCTCACTCTGATGAAACTGACAAAGGTATGATCGTTGTCCAATACTTAGTCAATCAATTCACATCTGAGTGTTCGAATGTTCAGCCCTTTCTATATTGCTTAGGATTGGCGGAGTTGATTACAGTTGATATGAATGCATTCCTATCAGCACCTGTTACTACGGAAGAGATTCGGTTTGCTGTTTTCAGTATAGGTAGCTATCAGGCTCCAGGCTCGGATGGATTTACTGGAATTTTCTTTCAATCTTATTGGTGTTTAGTGGGTGATTTAGTAGTCGCAGCAGTACATGAATTCTTTGTTTCAGGGCATCTCTTACCAAATTTAAACCACACTTGGATTACGCTGCTGCCGAAAGTACCAAATGTAGAAATGATGCGACAAATGCGGCCGATTGGACTCTGCCAAGTCCCATACAAGGTAATCTCTAAGATACTCACATCTCGGCTTAGTTCCATCCTCCCTCGTGTGGTAAGCCCTTCTCAAAATGGTTTTATTAATGGTAGACTAATTTCTGATAATGTACTTATCGGACAGGAAGTCTTGCATTTTCTGAAAACTAAATCAGCAGGTCAGGAAAAGTGGATGGCCTTGAAATTGGATATGGAAAAAGCTTATGACAGAGTTGAATGGGAATTTCTTATCTCCTTACTACAACGTCTAGGTTTTTGTGATGAATGGTTAAATTGGGTTCGTCAATGTGTTTCAACTGTCTCCTTCTCAGTTTTAATCAATGGCTCACCCCATGGCTAATTTCACCCTGGGCGGGGAATCCGCCAAGGGGATCCTTTATCCCCTCTGCTGTTTGCTTTATATACAGAAGGTTTCTCCCACTTCATTGAACAGGTGATCCAGGCTCACTTTCTACATGGAATGAAAACTCATTGGCGTTGTCCGGTGATTTCACATTTATTCTTTGCCGATGATACCTATTTATTCCTTAGAGAATGTCAAAACTTGTTGTCTTTGTTTACTTCTTATCAGCAGGTGAGCGGCCAAAAAATAAATTTGCATAAATCTTCTGTTACTTTCAGCAGCAACACTTCGCCAGAGGATGTAACTGCAATGCTTGATCTCTTGGGAATGGCGGAAAGCACACCGAGTGATCGGTATCTTGGTCTTCCTACTCACATTGGGCGTTCCAAGCAGGTTACTTTCCATTCATTGAAGACAAGCTTGTTGAACGGTTACAACAGTGGAAATCAAAGACCCTATCCCTTGCTTCCAAAGAAGTGTTAATCAAGTCCGTGGCTAATGCATTACCCAACTACGCCATGCTTAGCTTCCGCATGACTGTAAATTTTTGTCGGCGTCTAAACGTGCATCTGGCGAGATTTTGATGGGCCCAACAGGATAGAGTTGAAGGCATGCGATGGGTCTCTTGGAGATCCCTATGCCGTCACAAAAACCTTGGTGGCCTAGGCTTTAGAGACTTTGACAGCAATAATAAGGCCCTTCTGGCAAAACAAGCCTGGCGCATCCTTCAACATCCGGACAGCCCTCTTGCTGTTATGTACAAAGCAAAATATTTTGCTCATGTCTTGTTTTTGCAGGCTACCCCAAGTTCAAGACCTTCATGGGCGTGGCAAGGGGTGTTGGTTGGACGTGACCTCTTACTCCAAGGTCTGCGTTGGGTTATTGGATCCGGAACGTTAGTCCACATTACTAACGATCGATGGCTGCCTACCACGCCTCCCTCTAGTCCCAAGCTGCTGCCACACTCGGCACTTCCATCAACCCAGGTATCGTCTGGTTCTTGGAGAATAGATATTCTGCATACCCTGTTTGATGCACCCACAATTAAAGTGATTCTCAGTATTCCATTACCTCTAATTCCCATGACTGACAAGCTCATTTGGCACTATGACCCCTCGGGTGAGTACACTGTCAAAACTGGTTATCATATTGCAGCCGCTGAGTTTGTGCAAAAACTGTCTACCATTCCCATT